AGCCTGCTGGCGGGACGGGGGGGGGTCCCGCAGTCCCGGGGGGGTCCCGCAGTCCCGGGGCTCTGGCGGGAACTGGGGCACCGCGGCGCGGGAACGAGACTCGGGCACAGGGCGGAAAATTAACTTTATTGTAGTGCAGATACGGGAGTGTAACACGCGTCAAACAGTCGTCTCTGACTGGGCAGGTAACGCTGCCGACGGTTTTCTTCAAAGTTTAGTGTAAAAGTCTGCCACGGCCTATAGACCGCTTACCTGGAGCACGGGCAAGAAAAGCCTCAGGCGATGCAAAGGGAGACATGCAGAAAGGAGGAAAAAAAATAACGTAGTGCTCCTCTTGGCTAGAATAAAATACGGCCAAAGAAATCGGGGGAATAGTTTAGCAAAAAAGGAAATGCAGCTTCCACCGGCTCCATCGTGACATTCCGCTCTCCTTTACAAAAAGGACATTTCACTATTAACATCAGCGACTGAAGACGTCCCGGAGGCAGAACCCAGGGTGTACGTGGGGCACTGCTACAGTGATTCCATGGGTGCCAGAGCAGTCATCGTGCTCGGAGGATCAGGGCTTGGTTCCTGGAACTTTTGGAGATTAAATGGAAAATTAAAAGTTCAGATGAATATTGGTTACCAGTTAAAAGAATGGAGATAAAACTAAGATAAAACTGAAAATATGTGATAGTATACAAAGATGACAGTGTTTAAAATTCTACATAATTAAAATTACACTTAAATAATAAAACATTTGGGATATGCTATTTTCTGAAGAGTAAAGGACTTACTGAAACACTATACTGTCAATAAATTTTAAAGTGAGCAATGCCATTTAATAAAGATTTGAAGGTTTATTTTCTGTCGCAAAATGTGAACTGGAAATAAAATGTAAAAGGTTACCCGATATATGTGGAGTCATCAAAAGCATCTGCACAATTGTCATCAGAGTGATGGTTAAAACTGATGTTGTCAAATGCTTCTGTTTGAAAAAAAATGGTCAGGGGCTGAGGGCTTGGGCTGTGCTGGGACAGCAGGTACCACGGATACTTGCTGGCATACAGCATTTGCTTGGCTACCAAGCTACTCAAAATTCTAAAATATAGTTATGATTCTGCTTACTAAAACACTCACATAGTCCAATAACAGCAATGAGGAATTTAAAAAACCCAAAACAAAGAAACACCCAAGTTTTCACATCGTAACGCACATTTCAACATAGATTCACCTGTCCTTCTGGACCTGCAAATGCTTTTATGATTTTGGCATTGCTTTGGGGAGTGATAAACATAGTTACAAGAGTTAAGGACACCGCTGACAAAGCCGGTTTGCTGTCTGCAGGTGACACAACAGCAAGGTTTAAAAGGAAGTGTCTGTAACTGTTTCACCGCCTAGGGGCAGAGAGAAATCAAAACAGTGTAAGGTTTCACTTAAATGCTTTTCTTGTGTGCACAAGCATGTATAATCCCGTATTTATCAAGGTCTATGGATGCTCTAATAAACTTCCAAGTAAAAAGTTTCTGAAGTCAATAAAAATGAAGTACTATCTTAGTTTTAACAGTGCCAAGTCTTCAGCAATTAGCCATGCAAGACTATCCTGCCCAGTGTCAGCAGCTGACTTGCTGAAAGCTGGCAAAGCTCTTGCAAAATACATTTTCTGTTTTACCCAGAGGAGAGTCTCCTGAGCTTTGCTCTTCTGTCATGCTTTCAATAATCTTGGAGTCACTTGGACGAAAAGTGAAGGTGGAGGAACAACCATCCTTCTATGGCAATGCTTCTTTCTCTCACCTGAAGCTAACTGGCACGACAAAGTTGTTATCTCCAGTGAGAAAGGAACTTTGTGCAACAAAGATCATGACAGAAAGCTGATTACTGCAAAAGATTTATCATTAGTTAAATGATTTGCAGCACTTTTCTACACAGAAGCATTGTAGACATCATTGTGAGTCTCAGGTACAACAGGAGAAATCAGCAACAACAACAAAAAAACCAAACCCCACAAGCCATAGTTTGCCAGTAATTAAAGCTGTTATTTCTATTTCTCCATCTGGTCCATCACAGACAAATTCTTGTATGAGAAACAAAGAATTTTTGATAACCTCAATACATCATCCAGCCCAGAACCTAGCATTTACAAACCTGAGCTTGTTTGAAATAACAATAATTCAAAAATTACACTAGGAAAAAAAAAAAAAAAAAAAAGGAATGATGTTTAATTTTCAGTATTTTTCTCCATCTCTTCCTTCAGTTATTGTTACCTTAATACAGGACTGTGCATTTCCATTCCAAGTCAACCTACCAACCCACAGTTCTGCCAACACTGCAACCTGCTACTCTACAGAATTAGAACTGTCCACAGAGTGCCAGCTTCGAGAGCACAGTAACTGTGTAAGGGCACGAGACCAGTGCAGTGTGAACCCAACAGACATACATGGCTCACAGTCACAACGTGAAAATTCTTCAAAAAGCAGGGACTTGGAGATCCCTTGATGTTACCTTGTTTTAAGCATCTTGTCTGGTATACATTAAGAGTTCCTCTTTCACTTCCTGCTGAAATTTTTCTTCTGCCTTTTCCAGCTTCTTGGCATGATGATATTCCTATTTTATATTTGCAGTTTTTAACTCCTTTTAGGAAGAAAATTTGTACACTTTAAAATATTGCCACTTTTCACAGTACATATTGAGTCCTGGTTTTGGCTGGATAGAGCTTATTTTTCTTCTTAGTAGCTAGAATAGTGCTGTTTTGGCTTCAGTATGGGATTTGGTATGAGAAGAATGTTGATAGTAGACTGATGTTTTTAGTTCTTGCTAAGATATCAAGGACTTTCCAACTTCCCATGTCCTGCCAGTGTGCAGATGCACAAGACACTGTGGGGGAGCACAGCCCAAACTGGGGAGCAACATTCCCAAACTGGCCAATGGAATATTCCATACCGTACATCATGCTCAGCATATTGATGAGGGTTGGCTGGGAAGCTTCTCCCTCTTTTCCAGGATTGCAGTTTTGGGATTTTCTCTCCTCTGGAATCGCTTGCTGGGAACAGGCTGGGCATCGGTCAGTGGGTAGTGAGCGATTGCATGTTGCATTATTAGTTTCTATTATTTTATTTCAATTTTTAACTGTTTTTATCTCAACCTACAAGTCTTCTTACCCTTACCCTTCCAATCCTCTCCCTCAGCACCCAGGGCTGGGGAGGGTGAGCGAGCTGGGCTTGAACCACAACAATATGCCAACAGCAGTAAACTGCCACTGATCTGAGTCTCACCTTTTACAGGCTAACAGTCATAGCAAAGTTAGTTAAACTGAGTTTTCATTCTGGGGTAAGGCCCTCACACCAGTAAAGAGAAAGGGAAATATGTCTACCTATTAATTAGGTACCAGTGTGTTTTTAGACCTTGATCATTTCAAGCTTTTGATTTTTTCAATGCTCATAAACAAAAACCAACTAAAAAAACCCAAATAAACAAACAAAAAATAAAATCTGACAACAGCTGGTGTTTTCTCTTTTGTTTTTATTAATTACTCAGAAAATGAAATATAGTTGGTTACCTTATTGGCTTTCTGGCTTTTTTGATCAAAGTATGAAACGATTAAAGAAATTCAACACATACTTTTCAATTGGCTTAAGCTGTTCGGAAAAACATTTTGACACTCTGCTAGTTAGTTAGCTTTTGAATTAGAAACATGAAAATAACCAGTGATTTAAAACCAAGCAGAAAAATAAACCAACCAATAAATGTATTTATTTCAGTTACAAATAATAGCACCATAATTAAGGTAGAAAAGAGACCTAAGGACCAAAAATCTGATATTCTGGTCCTTAGCTAGTCTGTTCATGTCCCACCAGTATCACTGAGAATAGGCTGCAACTATTGGCTTCTATTTTCTTAACCGAAAATAAAAAAAAAGTAAAAAAAAAAAAAAAAGAGAGAAACCCCTCCAAGTTATTACGCACACTCTTGACCGGTTGTTAGCAAGCAGGCTGCTATTTGGGTTCTGCACAAGTAGCCAAAGGGAAAAGGAGACAATCAGAATCTGACAGACTTTAGGGAATGCCGAGAATAGTCATTTCATGATTAAGAAAAAACAGATCCAAGGCCTTGAAGAAAAAACACAAAGCACGGGACTGTAAAACAGTCTTATCTCACAAGATACAATTTAGTCCAAAGCACTTCAATTCTCAGGAGAACATTTGGTGACTTAAATGTTTCAGTAGGTAAACAGATCTATCTACAAGGTCACATTACCTCCCAGAATTGTTTCAGTATTTAAGTTTGCATGGAACTGTTTCATGTAAATGGAGTGGAAATAAAGTACCTTATGAAAGTTGTTTGATTGTTGCACAGGAAAATAAATTTCAAATATTTCTAAAGTTTTACATAAAACAAGAGAAATCATCACAAGTGATCCACAAAGCTAGGCAGCTGTTCTAACTGTGAAGGAACCATGGTATTTCTGGAATCACACAACTATGAATCTGTGTAATTTCATATCTCAGATAGTGTCCCTTCTGTAAACTTCCTGGAATCCTCTTTTCCATTTTCAGAGCAAATAACCTTATGGAAACATGTTTTCAAGTATTCAGTAAGACAATGTGTGATGTCAAAAGTTTTTTAATCATCCTAAATTTAAGTTTAGAAAAGTCAGGTTACAGACATATTTGACACCTTTTGCTGCAGGACATGCTGTTTCTGTTTAATTAAAACAATGCCAAAAATAGCATAAAACTATCATTGGAACAAACGGTTTTCTTTCTAGATGTTTTTATCTTGTGATTTTGTACATGAGCTAAGAACTCAAGTTTTTTACTGATTTTAACTGTGATCACATACCACTGACCTCCAAATAAGTCTGGAAATAAATAGAAAATTAGATAATGTTTCAAATTCTGACTCTGACCTAGTAGGCACTAATTTTTTACATAACATTAAAGAACTGCTCACATTCTTAATGTCACAATACCTGAGTTAAAAAGTTGTTGAACAATCATCTCCCTGAGCAGCCACTTGAATCCAATGTTTAATACCTTTTCTCAACAGCCTCTCTTCAACAGAATTACCACGTATAAGCCTGTAAAACAAAGAAACTCATTAAATACTGTTCCCTGGAAAACACTGAGACTTCCTGAAACCCAGCTGTTTCATATCTAATGTTCCTTGCCTACAGCAGTGAGCCCCAACACTAATTATTTAGAGTTCATCAAGTATTTCCATAGGAAGTTTCGCATTCATTTTTCAGTTTCTTAGAGGAAAGCTTTCTTTTTACATCTGATTTCATATTTTCAAAACACCAGGTTCTTTTAAGCTCTTATTTTCAAAATTAACAAACAGTATTATCTTCCTTACAATTGGATTTTTAAAAAATCCTTACAACAGCAGGGTATTTGCTAACAGTGCCTGCACTGCACACCCATGCATTCCTGGCCAGTGGTGTAAGCCGGGCAAGAGGTCCCCTCTGCTCTCAGCACGTCCTTCTGGCAAAAGAAACGGTCACTTGAGATAAGCTTTCAAATACATCTCAGAACTACATGAACACCAGCACCTCTTCACTAGTGGACTTGAAATTCAATAATAGATCATCAAGAAAGACAATTATTGTTTAACAAGAGCAGAAAACACCCACAGGTATTAATGTTCGTTTTGACTGTCTCAACACAGAAATCCAGATGGCTTACAAGATGAAAGTGGGAGGGAAAGACAGGAATAGAAGATACAGTAAGGGAAAGGACAGGTTTTTTTTTTTCCCTTTAGTCTGAAGGGTAGAAGTATGTATGACTAATCCAATCTTTAAAGGGATCTTAAAAGACCAAATTACTTAAACTAAAAGGATGACCTCAACCAAACCCCCTAGTTTCACCTAAAACCATCTTCCCTCTATTTCTGATTTTAAAACACCTATACTATTTCTTAGCATAAAAGTCACCTGTATATGTGAATATCTCCATCGCAATTTTATCACACCGTTCTTTAGCCTTTGTATCCATCAGTGGATCTAAATCAGTGTCACAGAAGACAACAGTATTCGCATCTACATGGCTGACACCTGTGGAAGGAGTGTGGGAAGAAGGAATAGCACAGGAGAATCGCGTCTCTTGCTTGAACTTTTTAATGGATTCCTAAAATGGGGAGAACAAGCAACTTAATTACAAATTCACGTTAATAAAGCATGTATCTCTAAACAAAATTTTTTATAGAATGAGATCAGAAAAATTGCTTTCTTATTATTTCCCCAACCTACATTCAGCATGAAAACATTTAAAGTTATCTGGCTGCCCACATTACAGATCTACACAAATCAAAATTAATTTGTGTACCATTAAAACTATTAATTTATGGTGCAGTCAACCAGATAAAAATCTAAAGAACTATTACAGTAGTCACACTATGTTCTATGACTAAGCACAGCTGACTGGGTTATTACATTCTGTGCGTGCTTCATCATTTTTTTTGTCTATTGACTAAATTGAATCCCTTCTATTGTGCTGCTTGTGTTGCTTTAAGGCAAGGTATTGCTCTATGTTTTATACTGCATCTGACAGAAAGCATAACAATGCAATTTAAAATAAAAAATAAGAAAAGAATAACTTAACTATATTGTTAATGTTTGCTCAAATTGTAGGCCCCAGAGGATACTGAGAATCTTACTGGGGAGGGAAATGAGCATACTTTCAATTTATCCTCAGGCAATGCCAGAGCACTCTACAAAAACCAGAAGCCCCTGGAGTAAGGCTGAGGAAGTGCCAACATAAAAACAGCAACTACACTTGAAGTACTGACAATGTAGATAGCGCCACAGATAATGAAAGCAGAAGCAATTAATCAAAATGCTATAGTGAAATAAAACATCTGTATTTCAAGCACAAATTACTCATAAATGTAGGACAACTAGAAGCATGCCTCTTGGAAACACTCTGGATGCCTCATCAAATAGTAATATGACTGACATATTACATACATAATTACATATTTTGTGCTACAGCTACATACACAATTTGCTTAAATAACTAATGAAATTATGCAAATGAATTTTGCAAATGTATTAAGACTTCCTTTTAGCATTTTCCCTCCCACTATGAGCTTCTATTAACTATTAGCTTGAATAAGAGATTTTCTTACCAGATAATGCCAACTGTGAGCACCACTTTCATTAACTCTTACGTATGTGAGAAAATGGAAGTTCACGAAAAACTCCAGTATATTAAGAACTGGAATCATCTGCGTCAAAATCAATACACGGTGTCCTCTTGCTTTCAGCTTTTTTGAAGCAAGACAGCCAGAGCTTCCACCTTGCCTGTTTATGAAATAAGAACTTGAAGGCTCTGCAGGTAGCTTTCAACAATTAGAGAAACCACATTTGCATAGTTAGAACAGGTGGTGGGGTTTTTTTTTTAATACCTGAATCACGCTGCACCAGTCGGGGATCTGGAACTGTAGAAAATGAGGCTGCATTGAATGGAAGTAGGGAAGTATCTGTTCCTTCAGATTAAACTTCAGGACCTTCATTTTGTGGGTATAAGGAGGTTTTGCTACATACAAATATGGAGGAGCAACAGCTACAGCTGGCAATACGCACACATTTCTACAACACAAACCAAAACTTTAATATACTAATTTTTAATAGCTTGGGCTATTGACTACTCAAAAACAGTAATAAAGAAGATGTCTGCATGGAAACATAAAGAATCTGGCTAAAGATAACAGAGAGTAAATCAGTAGATTAAGTTTTATGTTAACATCAAGTAAATGCAAAACCACTCAAGATCAGAACAAGAGGAAATTACCACTATCTGTAAAGGTTACCAAAATAAGATGACTTACATCTCCTACTGTTTTGTAAGTATTCACACAGAAAATACAAGACATATCAAAATCAAGTAGAACTGCTATATAGCTAATAATGATTTCCATGGAACTATTAGCCTGCAATAAGGCTAAAACAAGGCAACTCCTCACTTTTAGCATCTTACAGTACTTTACATAAATACCCTGTCCTGGATGGTGGTATACACCCACCAAATTTGTGCAAAGACTGCAAATGGATTTGTCTCAATTGACTAGTAATAACATCCTTCCCCGCGATCTGCTGCTGCTTCAGTGTCAGAATGAGTTCTTTCAACAGATCCTTTAGAACCTCTGAAGTACTTGAATATGGAAGGCAATTTGCAAAGCCAGCCCAGCGCCATTTGTTAATCCTGGCAGAACAATGCTGAGAGATTTTTCTTTCACTGATCCAAAAGCAATTCTCCAACAAGTCTCAGCCATACAGGGGGGTTCTGGAACAACAATGCTCATTCCCAAAATGTATTTTGTTCATGTGTCCCTTTAGTAGTCTTTTTTCTTCTACGATACTCTTTAAATTAAAACTTATTTTCTGAATTTATTTTGACCAGATGAAGCTTATGCAAAAAATAAATTTATGCACAAGAAAGTTGAAAATTAGAATAGTTAATGCAAAAGTTCTATGAACAACTACAAGAGGAGAAGTGAGCAGGAGAAAAGCTGACAATTAGTATTTGTGATACAAGGACAGAAGTCAGGTTTGGTATTTTAATGAAAAATAAATCTGCCTTCCTACTCTATGTCTAATGGCAAAAATATAATGTGACTTTCAAACTACCATTAGAGAGTCTACTCAGACATTGGAGAGTACAGATGGATGAGACCAGTCAATTACAATATTCTACATGCTTTAAATACCAAAGCTTTGTCTAGTTCAGTGAACAGATATGCACGTGTGAATCTTGTAAACTATACATTGTTGTTCATGATCAAGCACATACTCTGTCATATAAAGAGTTAGCACAGTACTTGAGTTGGACATGGCAGTATAGATACTGATTTAGATTTAGTACTCAAGTCATCTACTGTCATATTAATTCATTTATTTTTCCAGGAAAGCAGCAAAACAATATTTTAATGAGGAGAAATAATTTCATTTCACAGATACATGATATTACAATATAAGGATACTGTAGCTTCTAGAATTGTCATTTCTGAATAAGTAAAAAGTTAAAAATAAGAAGAGAAAAAAAAAAAAAGAAAAAGAAAAAAAAGAGAAAGAACATGTGAATTGAATCATGTGGCACCTTACCTTGACACTTCAGAGACTGCCTACCAGTAAATCGACAGAACTGACTGTAAGACAAAGTAAATGTTTTTCCTCTAAACTATGTTACAGGCTTCTCTGGCTGAGCAATTCTCTCTTGTGCTCCAGCTGTGGAAGTCACTGGGCTTCATACTATCCTGCTGGCTGTTAAGAGACAAAAAAGGTACAAGGTTTAAAAGGAAGAATTTCCTCACGGTACACTGCAGGATTAGAATGCTTATCCTGTGCATATAGTATGCAGGGCAGTTTTACTCCAGACATAACCCTTGGGTTGCACTTAACTGCAAAAAGACTAGGCCTCCCTCTAATACTGTGTGTTCTTAGACTACACATGAAATGTTCTTCCCTCAGTACCACTGGTAGACCTATTTAAAAAAAAAAAAAAATTATTTCCTCAATACAGTTTGACAATGCACAAACTTTGCAAGGGCTTCAAGGGTCTGCACAGGTATATTTTAAGCACACTTTTGGGGTAAAACAACCACAGAATAAGATCTTTTCCCACACAATTCATTTTTAGCAGTGGAAGAAGTTATTAGAACAGCATGAAAGAATAATTATCCTATATAATCTTCTGTCTTCTTCATACTGATTGCTTCCCATTCAACCATGCAAAAACTTGTACTGTACCCAGCTGAAATCAATATGTAAAGAATTTAGAAAAGGCCTGAGAAAAAGAGTGTGCTTGAAACACTGCACTACATCCCCAACCATCTGAAAAGTCTGTTCCAAAGGGCTGTATCATATAAAAGACTCAGTTAATAATGACCTTTACTAGTGGCTCAGCAGAGACCCAGAGAACAGGCAGTGATGGTGCCTAAATCTGCTCAGTCAGTTAAGAATGACCTGTGTAAAAAGCTGTCTCAGACACTGCAGCCCAGGTCTGAAGTTTCAGTAAGATGGTGTACCTGGAGACCAACAGAACTGCCAGCAAAATCTCCAGTTTGCACAGTAGTGTCATTCTGTTTATAAAAAACAGACAGAAAGATGATAAGGAATTTTGTTTTGATTTTGTGAGCTAATTCCTGTTAGAAAACGGATGGAACTTGATATTCAAATATGTAATGCATAAACGCATTGAGTACAACCTCATTTCTTTCCCAAGTTCAAGTAATATTTTAAAAAAAGACAGCAAAGCAGAAAGCAATGGTTTATTACATGTACAACACACCTTTCCTATGCTGATTTTCTGAAAAAACAGCAAGGGCTTGTCGTCTTTGTATTTTCTCATGATGATCTGCCATAACTCTCGCTGTGTCTGCTGTCCACTGCAGCTGAGACCTTGAGAAGTCTCTAGTTCTACCTTTGGATTTCTGTCCATACTGAACTGGTGAAAATAACCTAAAAATTAACAAATCATCCTTCTATACATACAAAAAACATACATGAGGAAGTTGTTAATCCCTTCATCCTAATACAAAAAAATAAAAAGCAAATAGTTATTTTTAGTCAGTAATCTGAGCTAGATGTATCCAGCCACAGAGCATATGGTAGGAGGGATTCTGCTTCTTTCAACATGCAGAAAAAACACAATATACTGTAAAATGCAAGTACACCAAATGCTCTGAGGCTCGAGTCTTCTCTGAAAGATTACATGGATGGGTACAAGCATGGCAGATCTCCCATGTTGTTTAATCATCTTCAGAGTCTCAATACAGCAAGAAAAGTTCCCAAAAGATGCTAATATGGATCAAACTTCTTAATGGAGCAAAGTCTTAACTATGGCTAGGTGCAATATATGTACAAAAAGCAGGTGATCTGTACTTCCATGCATCTTCAGGCAGTCTGGTTTTAAACACATACTGCAATTGTAAAAGCTGACTTAACAATAACCGTTTTGTGTACACTACTTCCAGGAAACTAAAGATGTCTAAACAGCAAAAGAATTCATTCTTTTTCTGCTTTACATATATATTTTAGCTATCACTTCCAATTCTTAAATTTCATTAACTGACAAAGCTCCCTTCTGGCAGAACGGCCTAATAGAACTAGCACAGGACATCCTGTTACAGACACATGTTACACAAGCTGTATTTGGCTTCAGTAGTTGTACTGTGCTCTTGTCACGTTAATTTACTGTAAAATGTTTAAGTCTACAGAAGAATTACATTCACTCCAAGAATCGAACCCTCCATCTTCTCTTCAGAGAGAAGAGTCAATAGCAAAACCAAAAAGGTCAAAATTTAACAGAACATCTTTTTTTCTTTGCCTCCCACCACCCCAAAAAGAAAACCCCAAGATTTAAGTCCTTTGCAAGCACATCTTAGACTTAAAGTAAACTAGAAGAAGATTTAATTATTCTGCTCTGGAAACTCTACTGCACAAGTCACTTCCACTGTTTGATGAAAAACACAATAGACTTCAACTCTATTGAGTTTGGCAGAAAAGATCACAGCTGAGCCTTCCTAAATGAAAACAACTATTAACTGCTAAAAAGCAGTCTCCTTTCCCTCAGCAGACTGGCATACAGTCTTTAGCAGTGATCAGCAAGGAAACAAAAGATAGCAAGAAAAACAAATGCTTCTGCATGAACCTTCTGGGTCCTCACAGATATTACTCATTTCACCTGTTAACTAAAATCAATCAGTCAATCAGTCACTGGAAGACTGCATACCTATTTGATTTGAGCTCAAGTCTGGGTGATGAAGGAGAACAGTAGATCTCTTCAATAAGCTTTCTAGTTACTTTCAGTTTTGGCAGTAGTTGTGCTTCATAGCAAGTATTTGGTTTTCCATCTTGTCACATCAAAGAGAGACTAGTCTGCAGGCTTAAGTTACAAAAAAAAGAAAAAAAAATGCTACTACTATTCAGTTGCAGTAAAAAAAAAAAAAGTCGTAATAATACCCCATTATCTGAGAATGATTAAAAAGCTCACAGCTGATGCCAGAATTAAGCCAAAATGTGGAAGAGCCAAGCATCACGTGATTTTGCAGAGCAGCTGCCATTACTTTAAAAGGTTTCAGCAACCTACACCATGAAAGTAGAGCATTACGCTCATGTTACCAAGAGCCAAAAACAGGAGAGCACCCCCAAATTAGAAGGTCTGCAGTTATTTCAATGCTTGTAACTAAAACATTTGTCTCTGTAGAACTGGCATTTCAGACTCATCCATTTCCCACCTTGATATATTAACCCTACTTGCTTCACAAGCCTTTGACACGCACACTGTCCCACTGCCCCTTCTAACAGGCTGAAAGGATTAACTATTTTAGTTTCCCAAGGTACATAACGCTACTCTTGTAGCTTTGTCCAGTCTTTTTTAAGCCTCTAGTATTGCTGAAATCACTAGGAAAAAAAAAAAAAAAGAAAAAGACTATATCTCTTGCAATGTAACTTTAACAAACAGACTATAGTTAAAACTAAACTGTGGCATCTGATTCAGTTTCTCATCTCCAGAGCTGTACACAGTTTAACTATGCCCTTACTACTCCTCAGGACAGGACAAGAATGGCACCCTTCCCTTGATTTCAAGACCCATCAGTTCAGGTTAGCTGGGAATTTAAGCAAAACCAGAAAGTGTTGCAAAATAGTCTGACCTTCTTTGACAAGGAGAGCAAATTCCCAGAACACCTACTAAATTAAGTACTACCATAAAGTCCGTGGTTATTATTTATAATCTTAGCAGTTGCTTCTAAAAATAAATTAATTAGCAATTCAGATTTTGAAATTTGATTGGAACCCAAATTATGTGTAAGAAATTTAATGTCCTAAGCCACCTGCTCTCTCAGTCAAATCAAGTCAAGCACAAGAGAATTACTTCTCTACTCACTTTCCACAGATCCTCTCCCAACATGTTCAGCACTAGAGAAGCAGCTGTAAACTCCAGCGTGTCTAATACACAGGGAGAACTTGGAAGCTGGGGATTTATAAGATCAGGATGATTACACACCCTTAGCAGCTGCATCAGAACACGGAGGACACTGACAGAGTGCCCACTTCTAAGACATTCTTGAGTTCTGTTATTTAAAATGAATATATAATTTAAATTATCTTTATAAAACAGTGCTTTTTAGGAGCTTAGGTCTTTCTGCACACTCAAACTGTTTTTCTGAATAAATCTAATAACAACAATTTACCACACTTAGAAAAGTATGAGTTTAAATACACAGTCTTCCATTCCTCCAGCTTCCATCACATTCACACAAACTTTTAATTAATTTATAGAATGTATTCTGATTTTTAAACTCACATTATCATAAACCTGCATTTCTCAAATAGCCACTGTATTTCAAATGGAAATGACATCAGATAATATATTAAACACAGACTGTCAATATTAAGGCCTTTTTTTTAACACCTGAATAAATACCACTTTAAATTATCAAATTCACTGGAAAATACAAACTAGACATATCAGAATATCAATGTATCATATAACCTAGAGTATTCAGTTCCTAAATAGCTTAAGAACTAAATTTAGACAAAAACTGACACATGGTCAGTTGTCCAAGTTATAAATATTTGGTCCCATATGTAGTTTGTCTCATAACCTGCAACTACTGTTTATTTATTCTTCCTTTTACCTTGTAAAACAACTAGATATAAATAAACAAACATGAGATGAAGAAATGTCTGCATGCAATTACCACCTAGTGTAGAACATGATTAGCCTGCACAGCACTACGATTATGTCAATGTGTTTTAATCTTTAGGTTTGCCCATGACTCACTAGAAATAACACCCCAGCAAACAAGCTCTGTTACTGTAACTGGAACAGTTCCTAACTTTAATGGTGAATGAACAATTAAGAAACTACTCAACAGATGTACCTTGGTTGAGACAAGATGTCTTTATGCATCATCTTCTGTCAAGTAGAAAGAGTACATGTAAGCACACGCTCTTGGTAACTGCTTCTCAACATGAATTTTGGACCTCCACAAAATAAATGACTGCACCACCTAAAAGAATACAAACCAATAATTTCCTCATTGCATTTCCTCAGAGAAAGAGATTTATTTAAGATGCTATCCTCGAGGGAAATGTACTCTCTGCAGTCTCACTGCAACCCTCTGGTATTGACCTTCGTTCCCCTCCACAGATGCTACCTTTGTAAAATCCAGATAGGATTGGGAAATCCCTGGAATCAGGAAACAGGCAATGGCCTACAGGTCTTTTAAGGCAGTAGGCAAAAGCGTATCCATCAAGAGTAAACCATGATAACCGCAAACAATGAAGATAACAATTAAGGTAAGATCTATTTCATAACTTAAATTACATCACAGCAAGCAAATTTGAAAAACTTGCAGCACTGAAGTTATTTCAGACAGTAACTGATAAACAAAAGCAAAAAGAAAAATCTGAATGAATGCTTCAGACCTCCAGAGACTGAACATTGCACCCCAGTGCTTCTCTGTCAGATTATTACCATTCTGCCTCCCATCTAAAACCAGGTACCTCCGTTGCACTTTCATGAATGCTTCACAGTCTTTAAAGAATTGCTTGCAGGAGGCAATACATTATGTTAAAGTTGTTGGGGTCAGTCTATTCCTGCAACACAAAACCACAACAAACCTAAAGGCTTTTTTGGTGGCTTTCAGAGCAAGGATTAAGTGTTTCCTCTTCTGAGATTAAAATAGATTATCTTGCACTTTATCCCAGTTGTTTAAAGCTTTCAAAATCCCAAAAGGGAAGAGATTGCTTAGTTTAACTCTCTGGTTGTGATGCTTGAAACATTATATAAAATATCCTTAACAGAAACTGTTTTTTTAAAGAAGAAAAAGCTTTTCCTAGAAAAACTTTTCCAGTGGACCAAATTTCCTAGCCATCCAAAACCAATTTGCAATGAAAAGCTATCTTTCCTTATACATTTTTAAATTGTTCCTTGAAGAGTTTGGACATGTTTCAGAATACTTACACTTGTTATAGTTTATCAGTAGTATTCATCCTTACTGGATAAATTCTAATCTCTAAAATTCATGTGTGTCAATCTTTAGGTAAATTCTACCCAGAAGTATCAAAATTACTTGATCAGAGAAGCTGTCACCACTCCAATTCAGTCTTCTGATAATCTCTAAGAGTGCCACAGAATAAGGAGAGAGTATCACTTTTTACTGCTGCTGTGATTTGAGCACTGCCTTTGGGTAACATTTCTGCAGCAGCAGCAGTGTCTGCTATATCTGCCACGTATTTCTTCACAGTAGATGCAAGACCTGGAAGCACCACTTCTTCCTGAAGGCTCTCTTTCTTATTCAAAGAGTCTCTTATTTCTGCACAAAATAATAAAAATCATGGTGCTGCCATATCTGAGATGAATAATTCATTAACAGATTTGATGCCATTTACAGCTATTCCAGGGTCTAAAGAGCACAAGAATTCTACAGTGTGAGAATACTGTAAATTTGTCAAACGACTACATAAACAAAGGCAAACTGCAGTGGGACACAGGTGCACACATGATAGTTTTAGTGAATTAGGTCTCTCATGCCTGGCCACCAAGGGAGATAAAACTAAGCCCTGATACAAACAAAAGCTCAGCAACAAGAAGTCTTTACAGCGTGTTTAGCAAAGCCTTAGTAAGCTACAGGAAGTTAGTGAGCTAGAGAAAGGTGATACTTATGACTCAAAACTAAGAGCAAAATACGAGCTCCTAAACATTTATTTTGGTGAGCTTATACTACTACTACCAGTATGCAAAAGAAAAAAAAAAAAAGTTATGCAAAAAAAAGTCCTAGGTTATTACCTTTTTTTGAGATGTACCATGAATTTGATGCTTTCTTCCCCCTCTCTTCTAACTCTACTTGCAGTTTTAAATCTACCACCTAAAATGGAGAGTGTGGGGGCAAAAAGAACAGAAGGAAATGACAAACATGAACGCATTTAGCTTCAAATACAGCTATGAATTACTTAACATTTCTTCAACAGTAAGACAGGTATCAGACATGGCTACAATGCAGAACACTCAGAGAAAAAAACGGTGTGTACAAAACTGACCATGAATAGAAGTCATCCACATACCCAGTGAGAGCTACCCAAGAATAACTCACATCAAAACTTAAAACATCTGCAGCAAGCCAACTGCACCCACTGGGATTAGTGAAGCACGCTCCTTCATGACATATAAGGCTTGAAATTATTCATGCAACTGTAACATGAAGCTATCCTTACCAACAGATGCTATTCACCATGTGGGCTGAGCAAAGCTCAGTTGTAAGGTTCTCTCTGTTAGGGTCCAATAGGTTTTTATTCAGTAAGTGTTTAGAGTGTTTTTTTTCTTTTTTTACATTTACCTGTTTAATGGTGGACCAGAAATGTTCAATTTCTCTAGCAGTAACTCAGTTGCTTCTCTTGTTTTTTACTGCATGTTTTCTCATGAAGTATCATATTGTCATGATGACGAGCTGAATAAAACGGTAAAAAGAATATTTTTTACTCTGTTCTAAGAAGCGTATTTCTAAAGAAAGAAAAAAAAATACAATCCCTTTAGGAGTACTGCCCAAACTTTACAAATACAGTGGAGAAGCAAACCAAAACTCACAGTGATCATGTCCTAACCATGAAATTGCTGCCTATTCTTCCTCCCATGTTCTGGCTGAAAATATCAAATTCACATTACTCTCTTCTCAGTTATCATCTTCCATCTTCTTTCTTGAACAAAATCAGCTGCCATCCACTGCATTTCTTCCAAAAGATGATCATGGTGTGATTTGTGCTGCAGGGTCTCTTGAAGTTTGGGCAAACGTTTTAGAGACCATAAACCTTCTTTCCTCAGTGCTGTTACTCTCTGCAGAATTTCATTTTCCTTCAAGTAAACATAATTAAACTTATGTTTCCTACTATACAACACAAAACCAAGACAGAGACACTGTGAAAAATGTTACATGAATAACCAATAGAAATGATTATTCAGTCCTTGGAAAGAGTCTATGCTTTTTGAAGTTGCACTTTATTAAATGATAATGAATAACACATCTTGTGCATTTATGTACAGTCTCTGAAGGACTCTGTGATGCAACAGTGTTATGAATCAGTAGAGAAGTTTGGGATGCCATGTACGCAGTCTTCAGAGCTTTATTTTTTCCTCATAAAATACGGTACCTCTGGATCTTATCAGAAAAGCAGGACTAATTCAGTGAGAATGTTCACAGAACTAAAAGACTCTGCCACATGGCATATGGACAGAATTCTCTAAAAAGTTCATATAAAAATACCTTTGGTTTATGGCATTTTTAACTGCTGGCAAGTAAACACAAAGCAACACAGATTTTCATTGTGATTTCTCCCTCCTTACTCTAAATATGTTGCATAAAAAGTTAAAATAATTGATTCTGTTTAATTAAATCTCCTTCTTGGATTTCATTACAAGAACAAATTCTACTTCCCTAGAGAATGTGCCTGATTCCTACTCACTCCTTTTCTTTCTCCAAGAAGAATCATATGGCATGTCTGTATCACTAATTAAAACCAAAAGAGACATACAACTATCTACAGAGCATTCTAAATTTAAATGAACACAAAGTTTTATTGTAAAGATTTATACCCAGCTGTGCTACCTGAAGCAAATTATTAGTGCCTGGTAAAGTCTTTTGCAAAAACTACTGAAATTATTTGCTGCTTTCTCCCCAGGTTGGAGTAATAAATCCTGTCATCCACAAAGTCTCAATACGAAACACAAAGGACAATGCTGCCAGGACACAGTGAGAGGTTGCATGCTGTTCCCTCTTGCTGCCCCTTGCAACTTCCACACATCTGGAATTTACTTTGAAGCATGAAATAAATGAATTTGATTCACTGAAACTGAAAATCCAGCACAAGAATATTTAAACTAAGAGTTGGTCAGACATCACAAATGACAAAAATGAACTGGTATGTTCCCCACAGAAGTAAAATTTCAAGGGAAAGTAGTGGTAAAGTGACAAAAATTAATCGTGTCTAGACTTTCTTAATGAGACAGATGTTACTGCTCTGTTTCTGAGGATATTCTCTGCCAAGTATTAAGCCAGAGTATTTAATAGTGCAGACAAGATGGCAATAGCAATTAGAATACACAAAAAAAAGCCATTCAGTCACATACAATATAATATGCAAATCTGATACCTGTTGCTGTATGGGAACTGGAGTTGGAACCAAAATCACACGCTTCTTATCACAGCCTGCTGGTTGTACCTGCCATGTGAAGCAGGTAAGAAAATATGCAAACTTGACAAACTTTGTCCATTTTGCAGTTGGTTTTGTTCTTGGCTAATCTGTTGAGCCACTTGAGGAACAGGAGGAATTCCACCTGCAGAGAAACTTTTAAAAATTGCAACTTCAGTAATTAAAATAGTGGAATATCAAAAAGAACCAAAGAAAGTGGCAATACAGACTGTTACGTAGTTGGTCAAATCAACTTTCTACCATACCACAATACAACTGCATACCTAAAAGCTATGAAGATGCAAATCGATCAGCATGCTAGTCTAGAATGTATTTATCCACTCTTTAACCTGGCAACACAAAGATCTTTTTTAACACCCTACATAAAGGTGATAGCTAGGCAACCAATCTGTATCAGCGTATCAAATGACCACAAAGAAAAAATTAATGCAACAACATCAATTAAGGAGAACAACAAATTAGGCACAGAGGGTACAAATTTAAGCCCAATGCATGGAAAATGAGATGTGCAGTGCTCACTGAGATTTCTAAGATTTTCTCTAGAGGGTTTTTAAATCGTATAATAATTGGTATCAGATATAATGTTACAATTACAGAAAATCTTGTTAAAGCAATTATCTTTAATTAAAAAGCTTAAAACTTAGATTTGATTTTAAATATTTTATCATAAATCATTAACATGTGTACTAGATGTACCAGCATGATTTTAAAGGTCATGACATTTTTTTTAAAACTGTTATCAAAGCTAATTATGAGTCTCCATGTGAAATACTATTTTGGAACTAAAATAAAGTTAACCTAATAAAGTATCTCATCCTCAATAAACAGCATATCACTCTACCACTTCTGAAGCTCTACCCACATTTACCTTTAATTTCAGTTTTACATTCTTTTTATTTTGCCACGAAATGGCTTTTATGGTCACAGAATTGTTTCCTGACCAACATTTAAAAGGAGAGTTCATCTCAATGGTCACTAACCTTTTAACTCAATTTAACTAGTTGAGTTCTTTATCATTCCAGTAGATTTATCCAGTCACTTTGTTTCTAGCAGACACAGAGGATTCCTGCAGCACGTACTGTGTCTTGACAGGGTACATTTGTACTTTGAAGACAACACAGGAGGGTCAGCTGGTCCTTTGGGTGTTGTTCTCCAGCACTCAGACTCATGACGATGGGCACCGTGGGTGATGCTCTCAGGCCCGGTCATGCGCTGGAGATGCTGGAAGCTCTAACACCACGGTGATGCCCGGAGTCACTCACGCCGTTCCCGGATCTCTCGTTTCATAACGCGCTGCCGTCTGAGGGGCAGACTGATTCATGCTGTAAGGACAGTACAGCCACGTACGCCACCAAGGCAGGCCCAAGCTGGGTTTAGACGCTGCCTTGAAAACATGGTACCGTCTGTGGCACGACGGGCCTGGCTGGGAGGAAGCTTTAGAGCAGAGACAGAGTCATCTGAACGTACAAGGGCAACGCAACATCACCCCTGCTCTGCTGCAGGATACACCCGTCGGCGCGGAGCGGAACGGGCAGCGTTACCCGAGGCTTTCCCGCCAGCAGCCGCCCCG